CACAGACTTCAGGTGCTCCGGGAAGCCATCTGCAGCTCTTGAGGCAATGAAACTGGGCTGAGAACACGGTGCTTTCTGGCCGCTCTGCTTCCAGCTGGAAAGACCACTGAGAAAGCCTCTCTCAAAGCGCTTTCTGCAAAATTGCCTCCATCCATCCCATCTGGTGTTTTCCAGTGATGGAGAGCTGCCTGGATTGTCCCAGAAACTGAGCAAAGTCCTGCCAGTGCTCCCCCAGAGAGGCACAGAAATAGGGAAGAGGTATGGAGACTTGCGTTTTTCAGGTAAATCACAGAATCCTGGCCTCGCACCTGCCAGATTCAGGCAGTCTGAGCCTGGGGCCGAGTAGGACTCCGGCATGAGTCCGAGCACCCTGGGTTAGTGGAGAGGGATCACATTGGATATGCCAGGGGAAAGGGAAGCTGAGAGCACAGCTGCTTTCAAACTCTACTGGAGGAAATCACAAAACAAAACAGAAAATTCTTGCTGCAAACGAGGATGTGCCAAGATGAAACTGAAATCTCAAAGTATAAAAAAAATCATAAAGCATAAGAATGCCCAGGAGACTGTAAAAAAGAAATGAGGAGGAGCTGAGGGAAAAGAAAAGAGTGAGCAAGGGACAGAGAGAGGTCCTCACTCCACGGAGCACATTCTGGTGGACAGAGTGGCCTCATGCCCCTGTCCAGTGTTTACCAAGGCACGTGGGAGGACAGAGGCAGTGTTTTCATCATTGCTTTCATTGAGCTCCCAGTGAACCCAGGCCCCCAGCTGGCACACTGACAATACCCCTTACCCTCCTTTCATCTGGATTGTTCCCTAGACACTCAGGTTTCTCAGGCCGCACGTGCTGGGGCCCTTTCTTCCTTCCTCAGAAATACTTATCTGCAGGCCTGAATGGGGAAAGCTATGACATGGCGCATAACATCAGAGCCCTTTTAAATGGAGCTCCTAGAAAAAGCCATTTTAATACTAGACAGAGACCTTTGGGACGCATGTTTATCCTATGTCATTATCACAAGATGAGTAGGAAGGCATCTCCAGGGGCATTCACCTGTAAGCCTCCGGGGAAAGGAAAAAGGGAGAAATCTGAACAGTAAATGTAAAAGTACCAGGTAATCTGGTTTATGCATTTTTAAGGAATAACCATCTATATTTCTTTTTAGTAAATTATATAACAACTTGAATTATCTTATAAAAATACCTTATTTAATGACAGACAGATAAGTAGAACAATGGAAATGGAGGAGGATAAAAATATACCACAAATCTAAACTATTGTTGCAATAATGCTTTGTATTTAGCTTTTTGGTAACCAAGGCAAAAATATCATAGGACATTTAATTATTAATGGCTGACAAAAAGCATAATGGTTTGTTAACAGGTACTTTTTTTTCTGGAAGTGATATACTTTGATATATTTAGATATCTTTAATTAGAAACATTTGCATAAAAAAGAAGACCATGGGGTTCATTTGTTGGGTGATTCTGAGGCCCTGCTGTTCTTAGGGCACCCACCTCCTATGCCTGTACTTGTAAGCAGAGGTTCTGAAGCACAATGACATTTACCAGGAACAAAGTCTAGCTTAGAATCCCCATGGTATGTTTTGTAAGCATTTCTACTCTTCCCTTCTCCAAGAAAATTCTGACTGAAAGAGTACAGTTGTAAAGGTTCTGTCCTCTATAATACAACTAAAAGTTCCTCCATCCATATCTGTCCTTAGAAGAGAATCTGTGCTCCAGCAACAGAGGGAATTGGAGAGAGGCAAGGACAAGCCTGTGAACAGCCCCCCTATTCCTTAAACAGGCAGGATCTGTGGGATATACCTGCTTTTGGCATTCTGAGCTTATGTGCAAATGTAACCCATATCAAATGTATTCATTCTTTCCAAGATTTACAATCATCTAGCTTCTACAATATTTTTCTGAGTTGTACATTTCTAGCTTGACGCAAAATATTTATCTAAAAACATCAAGGGGTAGAAAGGCTTTCTTTAAGTGATTTTTAAATGTAAGTTATCTTCCTTATCATTATTTTCTTTGGGAACTTGGTGATGTTCCATTTCATCACTACAAGGCTTCCAGTAAAGCTCTGGAAACTAATCCTCGAATATGGAACCCATGTGCAAAGGATGCAGCAACAAACATTTAGGCCAAAATTTAATAATGGCTATCATTTGTTGATGTGTAAGGACCAGTTATAAACAATGTCACCAGTTATCTCTCTTATTTTGCAGATAACTAAACAAGCTAAAGAGAGAAGCTGTTTCCCCATGTGCCGTTTGCCAGCTAGACAATTGGGTACACTTTGCACACAGTCTCATCCCAGAATATGTTCCCAGAACCATTGTAATATCAAAGTATCAGCCTCTAGGAGCACTCCTGAGTCAGCACAGATCTTTTCAGTATTAGACTGCATTTGGATACATTGTGCATCCCTATTGAAAGTCATGGCTCGTTGAATCCCTTCCGGGATTTTACATCACATAGTACTGACCTTGCAAAGAACTTTAAAGTGAGATCAAGGGCACTGCCACATTTGAGATCATGTTGCAGGAATAGCCACACTCCCAATCAAAGAGAACTGAGCCCTACTTATAGGGTTGATTTTTCACTTTGACAATGCCTGTAGGTATTGGTACATTGTAGTTTCGCTACTGTAGAAACGTGGGTCCTGGAGCTGTACTGTGTGAGTCAAATCCTGCACTTCCACATAATACCACTGCAGTCTTGCCCAAATTATGTAATAATAGCTCTATGCTCAGTTTCCTTTCCTATAAAAAAACTCACTAACAAAGCTCCATAGAATCCTATCAGGAATGACTGTACCATTATAAGCAAAGTGTTTAGAAAGTGCCCAGAACAAAGTAGGCACTCAATAAGTTAATGTTGCCATTACTTTTATTGAAATTAATCCAGGGGTCATTTTCTTTTGACAAAATATCCAGTATGTTCTTTTTCTTAAAAGCACGCATTTGAAGGGAGACCAGTGAGTCCAGGAATACTTGAGGCAACATCAAAGATGGGAGGCCATCCAAGGGTCACAAAATGCAAACCTTCACAAAGCTACAAAGGCAAACCCATCTTTGTACTTCTGCAAGCATTGCTGCACCTTCTGGCTAATAACTCAGAGCATCTGAATGAGGGAAACTTTTTCTCTGGCTCAATTTCTCTCTTACTCTCACTCTCTTAAACAAACACACAGAATTTCTTAAGAGATTTTTCAACCACATCTCTTTTTATGTTGCTCAATTCTAAATCTAAAAGACTACCTAGGCTGGGAATTGTTCAGTGATGTTGATTTATGAGACTTATGCAAAAAAGGACAGTCTTACCGATGCACGTATCTATTTGGCAAGGCAGCACTGATTTCTAAAAAGACAGGCTGGTGACACTCATATAAAGGCAGCTTTCATGTGCAAGTGTAAAGGCAAAAAGAAAATCTGCTACTAGTTGAATGACAAACTCTTTTGCTATTTTAAGAAGAATATAAATGCCTTTCTAGCTTCAACTCACAGTTTACCCTGTGGAGAGTATGCCATCTCGGATGGAGTGCCCAAGGTGAGTTTGTCTTTGCAGTTCTTGATCTCTGAAGCTCAGTGTCAGGTTAAGTCGGCCTGTCTTTTCTAATCACTATTTGTAAGTCTGCCATGCATGAACTTCTCTAAGCTTCATTAAAACTCTATGCATTTTGTAGATTTTTCTATATGCTTGACCCACTGGAGAAATGATATATGATATCAGTCGTGTTTTATTTGTCCTAGAAGAAAGTATAGAACATATTATAACATGAATTATATGAAAACTTGATTTTCAAATTGGACAGCAATTATGCAGTTCCCAGGGACCTATCATTATTGGCCTGGTTTCATATTGAAGCTCTTTATTCTTTCTCTCAAATCAGCTGTCATCGCATAGTAGTCTTCCTTTCTTGAGAATCGGTGTAGAGACTACAGACAGGAGTCCAGTTTTGTCTCCAGGGCTTCTCCTGCTAATGCTCCAGCCATCCAACAGCATGGCTACACAAGCACATTGATCAAACACTGGGGTGAACAATCACGGCATTTCCATGACTACAGAACATCACACACGTTGAAGAGCAGTGCATTGCACCACAGTTCCCACCTGTCATGTCAGATAAAAGTGTGTTCTGGTATTCTTCCCATTGGTATTTGTCAGGACAGCCTCAGCTATAGCCATGATACTAGTGGTTTGCATTAAAAAGGTTATTTCTTGTTCACGCTGCATGTTTGTAGTAGGTCAGCTGGAGTTCTGTTCCATGTCGTCTTCATTTCTCAGATGATGTTAACGGAACAACAGCTATCTTGACTCATCTGAATCATGCAGCAAAAGGAGAATAAATCATGATAAACAATGAAAATATCTATGTAGAAGTGACACTTATCACTCTACACACATTTCTTGGGCCAAAGGAAGGCAGATGGGGAGTATAATCCTCCTCTGAGGAGGGGCACCCTTGGGAGGGAAAATGGATTTTCTATGGCAGGGACCTTTAACTGTTGAAAAACTTATCCCTGTTGCAAACTCAAAAAATCAGGATTAAGATGGTCTCTGTAACGTTCTAAAGCTTGTCCACAGGGTAAGGTATGTCTGTGTGAGGGACTGATTATCAAAAACTCTCTTGTAATAAACAGAAATATTGGAAATTTCTATACTGAATGAGGAAAACAGTAATATATATTTGTTACCTCTTCATTTATGTCTAGAGGTCAAGAATTTTGGCAGATCAAGAAAGAGATAATGACTGTTTCAAACCGTGGCCCTGTGAGAATCTTTCTAGAGTAGCTTTTGTAGAGGGTCACAGGCATCAGTAAAATCAAAGCATCTGAGCTCTTCGCGAAATCAATTCTTCCCAAGACTGCGGACCAGGAAAGAACAGGATGATCTCTCTCTTGAGAAGGAAAGAATGAAAAATATGACTGTGGAAGGGACTGATTGGAGGAACATGTTTTGTTTTTTGTTTTTGTTTTTTGTTTTTTTTGCAGTAAATAGAAGCACTGAGCATTTCCACATAGAATGGAAACTGCTTCTCCTCTAGAAAAGAAAAGCAGTAGCTGAGAGTGAGTGAACATCATCCACAGAGAGAAGATCAGAGAATGCCAAGAAATGGAAAAGAAAAAGGGAATTCCGCTCCGGGTAAGAGAGAGAGAATAAAACCTGGAAAAAGTCTAGCAGATGCCAAGGAAACACGTAGGAAATATATTCTTCACCAATAAGCTTAGTAGTGCTGAAAGGGGCCTATGAAAAGGTGTGAGTTAACAGCTTTGATTTCTCAATTTAGCACACAGTTTCAAACCCTTCTGGGGCAAGCTCTGTAACAGGGGCTTGGAGCTGAAAGTTGAATGATGCACAGACTCTGGCGTGCAGGAGCTTATAGGCCACAAGACTTGATTAATTAATAGGTAATTCAATATCATGTGATTACCTTCAAAACAACTACATTCACATTGCTGATAGAATACAGGAGAGTGTCACCTACATCAAACAAGGGAAGAGAAATAGTAGAGGAAGATGGAGCCAGCAATGCTGTGCTTCATATTGAAGAACACTTAGGCCTCACCTGCAATGGGGAAAGCTGGACAGGTTGTTCCTGGCAATGCAAACAACATATGGAAGTGCACAGAGGCTACAGTCACAGCACAGAAGCACATGTGCCAATGAATCGTATGAGGATGAAGGTATTGGAATGAGTGGGGACAGTAATAGGGGAGCACTCAAATCTGAGTCATAGAACAGAGTCTTAGTGTCAACTGACCCAAGACTTATTTGAGTCTCTCTTTCCTTTCTGGTAAAAATGGTGGTGTTGCATTAACAAAGTCTAAAACTCATTCATGCTTGGTATTAGAAAAGGTCTAAGTACGCCGGCACTGAGGCTCACTAGGCTAATCTTCCACCTGTGGCGCCAGTACCCCGTGTTCTAGTCCTGGTTGAGGCGCCAGATTCCATCCCGGTTGCTCCTCTTCCAGGCCAGCTCTCTGCTGTGGCCCGGGAAGGCAGTGGAGGATGGCCCAGGTCCTTGGGCCCTACATCTGCGTGGGAGAGCAGGAGGAAGCACCCGGCTCCTGGCTTCAGATCAGTGCAGCGCACCATCCGTAGCTGCCATTTGGGGGAGGGGGGGTGAACCAACAGAAGGAAGACCTTTCTCTTTGTCTCTCTCTCTCTCTCACTGTCTAACTCTGCCTGTGGGAAAAAAAAAAGGTCTAAGTAAAGAGTTTTTCAGTGGAAAGTTAGAATCTAGAAGTACTTTTTGATTAGACATTAGAGAGAGAGATGCTATGTTCAGAAGAAAGGGGAGTCTCGGAGTTTGTACAAGTTCCTCTTACGACTTCACGTAGTCTATAATCCTCCTCTTCCTTTCCTGAAAGTATTATCATCAGCGGCTCATTACTACTGATGGTGACTTCTTCAGTGACAGTCACTTTGAAGTTTGAAAAGTGCTTCCTGGGACCATGAAGAATGCTCATGGGGGATGAGCAAAAGTCACTGCAACACCTTTGAACTGCTCCACAGGTGAGTGATGGATTTGACAGCATGAGGGCCTGATTGCAGATGCAGGAGCAATGGACATTTCCACACAGGAGAAAGATGCACCTGAGTGAGTGCATGTGGGTTACAAGGAGAGCAGAAGAGAAACTGTTAAAAAATGGAAAGGAAAGTGAGCAGAGAATCAGAGGTTGGCGGGGTGGGGGTGAGGGGGGTGGTGAAGGTAGCAGGGAAGATAAAGCTTTGAGAAGAGCTGGGGGATGCTAAGGAAGCAAGGTGAAGGAGAAGGTATTTTTTCACCCATAAAGTTCAGTAGTGCTTTTAGAATTGCAAATATGCATTTAAATTTAATAATACAATTATGGTATATTAAATGTCAAATGACTGTTACAGAAAAGCACTTAAAATTAATACATATGCATGAGATAAATCTTGTCTGGTTGTCAAGGTCTGAATTCAAAGTTACATAAGCCAGGCTTTTGCACTGAATTTTGTTACATCTTAAGGTTGAGTGTATGAACTACATTGGTATTTGGCAAAGAAACTTGAGGAAAGCTTAGTTAGAATTCACAGAAAAGGTGAGGTATTGGCTAGGTGAGCAGAAAAATCCAAACAATATTCAAATCCAAGCAAAACTGATGATAGTTAGGGTTTTGATCACCATTATCATTACTGACATCATCAATATAATCACTGCTGATGACAGTGTTGAGGTACCTAAGGCTAGTCTGTAATATCAAGAAGTCCTTTTTCAATCTCTCCCTTCTTCCTTTCTTGTCTGTGTTTTAATGCAAAATAGTTCACAGGGATAAATTTATATTTGTTAATTATCTTAAACAAATGCATTTCATTTTAATCATAAATATAGTTCATCAATATACAGGCAACAAGTAGTGAAATTTTACTGTTACCACCTTCATCCCACAACTCCTTTTTACAAGGTTAACAATTTTGGTTGTTCCAAACCTTTCCTTCAAGGAAATATTTTCTGAAGACTTGGAGCCTACCTATAGAGGGACAATAATTTTGATAAGAAGCAAGCAATAGACATAAAGAGCAAGTATGCTTCATATAAATATAACCTGTGTAGAAATGAGCTCTGAGAGAGTGCTATCATCTCCCCAAGCTTTGGGGGTTAGGGGAAAATAGTCTTCTCTGAAGTTCAGCTCAAACCTGTAGTTATATGTGGCAGGCTGAACAAATACATTTACCACAATTCTGTCCCAAAATGTCAACTCAATGATGCAAGTCAATTTTATTTATTATTTAACACCTTTATTAACAGGTGTTTGCTATTTAACTTTTTAAAATCAAATTAACATACTTTAAATTAAAAATGAATTTCTTAAAAAACCTCAACTTGACCATATCAGAATGCATGGTTAATGTCTCTGCACTTTTTCCAATCCAGCTTCCTGCTAATGTGCACTATGGGAGACAGCAGATGGTGGGTAAAGTAATAGGGTCTCTACAACCCACACAGGAGACCTGGATGGAGTTCTGTGTGACTGGCTTTGGCCTGGCCCAGTCATGGCTGGTGTTGGCATTTGGAGAGTAACCCAGTAGATAGAAAATCCCTCTGTCCACATCTTTATCTCTACTTTCAAATAAAAATGAAACTAAAGATTTTTAAAAGGTCACTTTGATCTCCATTTATCTGCCTCCTATATTTTATTTCTCAGTCATATCTGAATTTATGTAGGAATGAAGGGGTTATTTTTATTGTTTTTCTAAATCTCCCAAATTTCTACAGTGAAACTCATAAAAGGAACTCAGATAAAAATGAAGAATGTTCATACAACAAAGAATACAGAAGAACAAGGGCAACAACAATAAATCATATATAATAACCTAAGGGAATAAAGAGAAGGTAAGACATGCATATGAGTAGGTTTGATACTCAAGGAAAATTAGGTGTTCTTGGAAATCAAAAATATGAAACCAACTGAAAAAATAAATAGCAGTTTTGCATACAATGCTAAAATACATGACAAAAGACAAAAGCAAAAATTAAAAAGGGGCAAGAGAATTAGATTAATCCATTAAGTATGGATAGAAATAACAGAAAAAATGGAAGGGTGTTATCAAATAAATAAATAAAGTTCCATACTTGAGGAACATTAAGTTCTAGATTAAAGGTACCTGTGAACATATTCTGAAGTGGATGAGGAAAACAGTTGGAAGCACTCTGGCCTTCTCCCACCCCGACAGGACAGGAGGAATGAGGGTCACCCTGCCCTTTTAGGGTCCACTGATAAGTTTTCACTTGTCAAACAGACCTTGTCACTATCAAAAGCCCAGTTGCTATCTCCCTTCTTCCTTGTTGTTGTTGTTGTTGTTGTTTTAAGATTTATGTATTTGAAAGGCAAAGTAACAGAGAGAATGAAATCTTCCATTCACTAGTTGGCTTCAACAGCCAAGTCTAGCACAGGCTGAAGCCAGGTGTTGGAATCTACATCCAGGTCCTACATGAGTGACTAGGGCCCGACTACTTGAACTGTCTTGTTTTCCCATGTGTATTAGCAGGGAGCTGGGTTGGAAGCAGAGCAGCCAGGACTCAAACAAGCACTCTGATATGGAATGCAGGCATCACAAGCTATGGCTTAAACTGCCACAGCTCAATGCCCACCTCTTTCCTTCTTAACAGATGCATAAACCAGATGGGTTTTTCTGCTATGATTTTGTTCCTATCACTTATAGCTATAGTTCACAGGGAATTGTCTTGTTAAAGTTGTTTTCTTAAAAATTTATGTATTTAATTTTATTACTGGAAAGGCAGAAAAATTGGGGAAGGGGAGAGAAAGAAAGATACAGAGAGATCTCCTGTCTACTAGTTCACTCTGTAAATTCCCACAGTAGTCTGGGTTAGGCCAGGCTGAAGCCAGGAACTCAATCTGGGTAACTCATAAGGGTGGCAAGCACAAACCTCTTGAGTCATCACCTGATGCCTCCCAGGGTGCGCATTAGCAGAAAGTTGGAATGGAGGGTAGAACAGTGACCCAATCCCAGGTGCTCTGGTAGTATGAGAACACATCAAACAGTGAATTATTGTGCCAGAACAACAGCTACACTTAGTTTTGTTGTAAATGTTGTTGATGAGTCTTCTGTTTCACTTTTCAACTTCCATGTCTGTCTTTATGTGAGAGCTTAAAAATATTTTTAAAAAATTATCCTGTGTCTCTATTGTTCCAGAATTTTCCAGTTTTTAAACTACACATGTATAAATGAGAAGCTTAAAATAGCATTTATTAGGTCACAGTTCTATATGTCAGAAGGTTTTTGTATGGGTTTTCCTTTTGCCAAAGATACCTCAAAGCTGAAATCAACAACATGTTTTGGCTGAGTTTTTCATACAAAGGATAACGGAGTGAATCTCCTTCTGAACGCTGTCGACCTAACTCATTTGCTCACTGTTGTGGGACTGAGGTTACAGTTTCCTTCCTGGCTGCCAACTGAGGGCAGCTATCAATTCCCGGCTGCCATATGTATGCTTTGATAAACAGACCCCTTCACCTGCAAGCCAGCAGTGGAGTATTTGGTCTTTCTTACAACTTGAATCTCTAGTTTTCTTTTCTGCAACAACTTAGGCAAAAAGTACTTGCTTTCATGTGACTATGTCATGCCCCTGTGAATTTTCTCCCTATCTAAGGTAAACTGCATAAGCCCAATCAGATCCATCCTATTTGAAGTCCCAGATATGAGGAAAGTTATGTACACCAGGGGAAGGAGGGGGGATAGAAATTCTTGGAGATCATCCTAGAATTCTGCCAACTGTAGTCCTTCCTCTGACTTTGGAATCAATGAAAAGTGAGATAACGAAAATTATTATCAAAGTGCCAATTCTATTTCTGATGGAGTTGCTTAGAGAATGTGGCCTCTGGACAATGACTAAACAAATAGGCGTGTGGGTACTCCTCAGTATCAGCCCCTTTACTCTTCCTATCCCTCATATCAGGTTCAATTTCAGGCCTCCCTAAAGGAGAAAGAGCCTGACTTCAGAAACCACCTCATAGCAGGCAAGGAAAGCAGAATGTACCTTCTCTGCAGCCAGAAAGATCTGAGACCAATAGAAACTGCATAAAACAAAAGAGCAGTATTGAAATTTGCTCATTCAGACTTGGGTCTCCTTTCTCAAAACTTATCACCTGGATAACCTGGTTCTCCCACCCTGAGTAGAAATGTGTAAAATGCAGAGAGAGCTTGTTTACTGTATATCAAGTACCCTCAGGTGAAAATGCAAGAATAAGAAAATGCAATTTCCTGTTTTTCCTCTAACACCTATCACTTTTGTCCATCTGGCATTCCTTAGACCAAAATGCTCTTCTTCTGGATCTATACATAACAAATTCCTGAATAATTTAGGTGAATTCAGAATATAAATATTGAGGTACAACATAAATTTTAGACATTCTGACAGATATTTCCATATTATCCATAGCTAAACAAACAATAGTTTTGTCCTTCAAAAGGCAATAAACAAACAAAAACTTTGCAATCTACTAGTAAGATTGACCAAAAATATAAATACCTAGAATGAAAGTAAAATACTTCCATGCAATGAAGACAATGTAACAAAGAGCCCTGAGGGAAGGAAGTCAGATCATCCAAGTCAGAATGGGAAGTGGTGGAAATGGTGGGAAGTTGACATGGCAGTCATGAGAAAAGTTTGGATATGGGTCATAACAAAGGAACTAAAGAGTATAAGGTCCCCCTTCTAGTCCTGAAGGACTGGGTGTGAGAGTTGGGAGGCAACCGAGGGCTGTATATGACTCAGCCTGCTTCGTAACCCCTGCTCTGTTTATCTCAACCCTTTAAAGGGACATTGGTCTATAGGATAACTCTGGACTTCAGACTTTCATAATTTTATATTTTAAAATGCGAAGAGGCTTTTCATTCTAAAGCAGAAGAAATATATTACAACTCACTATTATAATAGGCCCCCTACCATTTACAAAGAACCACACAGACTTCACAACATGAAGATCATAGAAACTATGGCACATTATTCTACGGGTGCCTTGAGCACAGCTTGTTCCACAATGTGCACATTATTCTACTTTTCCACTTAAATCTATTCAGCTTCCTATATTCCTCTACATTATCAACATTATCAAAGGCAGGTCGTCCTACAAACTGGAACTCAAAGGGCCTTCCTTCATTATCACCAATGGGTGAAAAATCACTTTTTACTCAATCTCTAAAAACTTCATTGATTCTAAATCTGCCGTTTCAGCTCTACATTCTTAAGACCATTCACATTTCTTATTGAGATTTATTAAAGATTACTTCCCAAATTAACTTTTTGGTCCAAATTTTGCAATTTATCGAGCCTTCATTGAGCCTGATACCAGGATCTGTTAAAAAATAGCATAATACTGAAATCGGACATGACCCCCTAAAATTTACACTGAAATGTGGCCCTTCAACGTTCCCCAGATGTGCTATCTGGGGTGCCACATGTGCTACCAGAATTTGGGGTGCTGTACAATTTCACCATATGCTTATTAATAAATCCCCAATATTAATACGTCCAAGAAGGTTCTTGCCTAATATTTAGAGAAGAATTCTAAATACAGGCACAGATAAATGAGTCAGCATGATACATTTTAGGCTTTTGTTTAGTGAGAAAGATGCATAGGAGAGTGAGAGTTTTATTTAAGAGGGAGAGGTAAATAGGGGTTCATACCGAGCACCAGGAACCAGTCACGTGGATGAGCATCTAGGCCAGTAAGCCTAGAGCACATGGCCTGAAGGCCATGCGCCCTGGAGGCACAGGGCTACAGCAAGCCCTGTCCTGGTGAGAGGCCAGGGAAGAAGAGATGGGCCGGGCCACACTGTGTCCTGGCTTCTAACCCACTTCCAAAGGGGAGTGGTTAATTAACCTGATTGGCTGGTGGGCACAGGCACCCAGGTGTGGTCAGGTAGGGGAATGAGGCCACACAGGGCCATGGTCTTCCAGTTCATAAATCTAATCAGTTTTAGCCTGTATGCCTGCCTACTTCAATACCATGCTCAATAACAATATTATGCTCAGTGTTAATTCATTAAGCTAGCAAACATCTGATGATTTTTTTCTATGTCAAACAACACTGTACTTTCAGGTGGCAGGACCCTAGCATTTAGTAATTTAGTGTGAAAGATATGAAAAATTTATTTATATATAATAATAATATATACTACTATATAATTTTTAAAAAATAAAAATTAAAAAAATCACAAATGGGGAGAAGGCATTGTGTCCCTTTGGGCTTTGCAGCCATTTGAGATGTCTGCATCCCATATCAGAATGAGGTTAGACTCCCTGCTACTCTGCTTCCAATCCAGCTTCCTGCTTACACCTCTGGGAAGGTAGCCCAAGTACTTGAATCTGTGTCACCTATGTGGTAGACCTGGATGGAGTTATGGGTTCATGACTTAGTCCTGTATGTTATGGGCTTTTGGGGAGTGAACCAGTTAATGAAAGATCAATTGATCTCTCTCTCTCTCTCTCTCTCTCTCTCTCTCTTTTTTCTTCCCTCTCTCCCTCCCTCAAAGAAATAAATCTTTATAAAAATAAAATTGTGTGCCCTTACTATCCCTAACTCCTAAAATTTCCCATGAGTTCTTCCATACTCTCACTCCCTTACCATATCTGAGCAGATGAAAGACCCTAAGGTGGATCAGAAAAAAAGTGACACAGGGATAGCCAAGCTCAGTAATAGATGAGATCCCTCAGGACCAGCCATTTGAGACACAGTGGCTTTTTCATGAATGAAGATTAAATTTTTATTGTGTTAGGGCCACAGAGATTTGGGAAAATTTGTTAGAGCAAACAGCATTGAGTCATCTGACAAATGGCCCAACAAGGTTCTTCGTTCTATCACCTTAGCTTACTTTCCAGTTTTATCTCCAGTCATACAGATCATTCACTTTCACACCTGATTGCTTTACCAATGTTCACTTTAAAATATTAATTGAATTACTCGAGATATTTCCTCTCCCCATTATCCTTATTATCTCTATATGAATCTGTCACTCTAAACCCAAATCTCATGTGATTCAAAAAACTCCTATGTATTTTAATAACTTGACCAAAAAGAAAAAAAAATCAAAGTTTCCAGTTATTAAAATGCATTATAAATCTGTGGTCATTAAAATATATTTTAAAGACCTCAAAATAGAGAATAGGCTCCATAATAACATCTGAGTACACATCCACTTTTAATACTTGGTAGTAATAAAGGCATTTCAAATCAGTGAATAAAATTAATACATCTAAGGCACTATGTTGAGATAATTAGTTAGCTATTTGGATAAGGAGAGAAATTTGGGTCACTGCCACAATTATACCTAACTATTAAATTACAAGATTTAAGCATAACAGTGTCAGCAATGAATATAGGTGCCTGGCTTTTTTAAATCTTAGCAAAGAGAACTTTTTCAGAATAATCCCAACAAAGAATAGAAATATAAAAATTTATGAAAACTTCAAATGCCTCATAAATTACTAGAAAAGGATGTAGGATCTAGAGACAGCCTGAGCCAAAGACAAGGAGAGACAATTTACAGATTGAATAAAAATAGGAAAACTAATGATTTTTTCATTTCATCAAAGCTTAAAGTTCATGAAAGCACAAATGGATTCAGTCTGTTAATCAAGATACCCTATAATTTCATTCAGTAACTCTCAAATATTAATGTGATAAATAAAAATACTGAATCAATCAGTAATTAATACATAGCAATTTATAGGATTTTCTGTTTTTGCTCACTAGGCTAGCATGACTAAAATGTTTAGATATATAAAACTGATTGAGTTAAACTTTCCAAATAAAAATTTCAATAGTCAATGTAAAGGAGTCACATCTTTTGGTTCAAAAATTTAATTATAAAAATTAGGCAATAAAATTCCTAACCACATAAAGGTATATATTTGTTTTATGGACTTAAGAAATTCTCTATATATGTAATTATATATGCTTATATGTATACATATATAAATTATACACTTAATGATATCAATTAATGTGAATACATCAAGAATTAGGAATAGTTGACACAGTATTCCAGTGTGTAGAGTTATCTTTAAATAAATTGATGGTTGCAGGGTCTTAGTCCACCCGTACGAGGATGGACTGGGTTCAAGGAAAGGTAAGTGCACCGCTCGCCCATTTCCCAGCCTAGAGAACCCGGAGATAAGCAGACGCAGCGGGGAGCCAAGTCAAGCAGGGACTTTATTTTGCACGTAACAGAGCCTTTTAAAGCACAAAACTGCAGAGTCATTGGGGCAGGGCAAAAGAAAACCGTCATTTTACGGGGCAATTTTTATAGGACTAGCCATATGTCTATATACTCGTCATCAGTTGTCGTCACTTCCCCTGATGTTGCGTGGCCAATTAGCTTTGATGGTAAACAACATTGGATTCCGCCCACCTTACTTCCTCTGGGCGCCATCTTTGAATTGTCTCGTGTGCCTAATTTCCCCAGGATGGTCACTATTCATTTGGTTTCCTGAGAGAATTTGGCTGTTCTGGGCGCCTACCTAGTATTGTGCCAAGATGAGTGACTTTACTGTAGGAAAGGGTAATGAGAAAAGCTTTTAGTAGTGACACCAGGATAGAAAACCACATTGGAAACAAAGAAGATTCAAATGTATGGATTGCTTTCTTCACAAATGTTTACTGAATATTAGAGCTGCATGGACACTGGATAGGTAAGACTGACAGTTTCAAAGACAAAATGAAATCATCACATCTCATTTTACTTAGGGGAAAGAAAAAGATCTTTCATAGGAAGGTGCCTACCTCAAACAATGCCATTCTGTTCATCAAGTCATTTTCCAGATTTTGAAGCTGTTTCAGGTCAGAGTCTAGAATACGGGCTGTAAATTACTGAAGCTGATAAAAGAATCTATAGATTTCAAGGCCAAAGGGAAACATATCACTGGGGTTTTTTAATAAGGTATTTAAGGGGAATAAATCCATAGAAACAGAGGTAAGCATAGGTTGAATTTCTAAACTGAAATAAAATGTAATAAGCTAACACATCAATTGCACTGAGAAATCAGGCCCTTATTTTATCTCCAAACAACATTTTTTAAAAAGGAAATAATTGCTGTAGAAAAATATAATCATAGGAAAGCTTTAAGGTTTTTGTCTACACAATGTCTGGCATATCATCAAAACTCTTAGACATATAAAGCGATATCAAGACAAATGTGAGATTATAGAAACCTATCCAAGGATGGTTTGGATCATGGATTAAAAATATGACATGCAAAGCCAAATTTGTCCAATGTCCTTTTTAGTTTAGTTTTCTTGGCATAAAATCACATTCACTTGTTTGTGTATTGTCTATGACTGCTTTTTAAATCTTTGTATTTCAGACTAGTTTTAAATTTACAGTACAAAAATTGTGAAGCAGTAAAAGAATTCCCATATACCCCATACCAGCCTAAACTATGTCAACATCTTATATTCCTGTCATATAATTGTCACAACCCATAAGCCACACCCAGATTTCTCCATTGCTAACATCTCATTATTATATCTGTCACAATGGATTACACTCAGCTTCCCTTATTTTTGGTATGAGAAGTCCATCAATCTCACCTTACCCAGCCTCTAATAATCAACATCCTGTATTTAGATTGACTTTTTGCTTTTATTTTTGTTTTTGTAGCTCCACGTGTTGGGAGAAAATATTTTATTTGTGTTTCTGTGTCTGCATTATTTTTTTTTAACTTTTATTTAATGAATATAAATTTCCAAAGTACGATTTATGGATTACAATGGCTTCCCCCCAATACCGTCCCTCCCACCCACAACCCTCCCCTTTCCCACTCCCTCTCCCCTTCCATTCACATCAAGATTCATTTTTGATTATCTTAATATACAGAAGATCAGCTTAGTATACATTAAGTAAGGATTTCGACAGTTTGCTCCCACACAGAAACATAAAGTGAAAAATAATAGATGATTTTTTTAAAATGATGATGAAATCAGAGCAGACCTATTGTCATGTTTAATCCCAGTGAGAGTCAAGTTGGGAGTTGATAATTTCTTTTTTTTTTTTTTTTTTCACAGAGGATCAGTTTAGCATGCATTAAGTAAAGATTTCAACAGTTTGCACCCACATAGAAACACAAAGTGAAATATATTGTTTGAGTACTCGTTATAGCATTAAATCTCAATGCACAGCACATTAAGGACAGAGATCCTACATGAGGAGTAAGTGCACAGTGACTCCTGTTGTTGACTTTACCAATTGACACTCCTGTCTATGGCATCAGTAATCTCCCTATGCTCCAGTCATGAGTTTCCAAGGCTATGGAAGCCCTCTGAGTTCTCCGATTCTTATCTTGTTTAGACAAGGTCATAGTCAAAGTGGAGGTTCTCTCCTCCCTTCAGAGAAAGGTACCTCCTTTTTTGAAGACCTGTTCTTTCCACTGGGATCTCACTCACAGAGATCTTTTGTGTGTCTGCATTATTTTACTTACCATTACACCTTCCAATGTCATCCATTTTTGCTGCAAGTAACATAATTTCATTCTTTTTTTTTTTATGGCTCAAGAGTATTCATTGTGTACATATTCTACATTCTCTTTATCCATTCTTCTCATAATGGACACCTTGGTTGCTTCATGTCTTTGGTATTGTGAATGGTCCTGCAGTATACAAGGTGGAGCAGATACCTCTTTGATATGATGATTTCATCTTTTCTGGATATATATCTAATAATGGTATTGGTGGATATATGACAGCTTTATATCTAACTTTTTAATAAATATCCAAACTGTTTTCCCTAGTGGCTATACTAATTAACATACACACCAACAGCAGGTATAAGTTGCCTTTCTTGTGACTACTTTGTGTTACAATGTTGATTGAATAATGATAACAAAAGTCATATGGTCCATAAGTGTACAGAACAAGTTTTACAACACCTGAAAAAACATAATACTGCTAGCATGTGTGGATTCTATAATAAGTTTTCATAATATTTTCAGTAGAAAAAAACATAGGTAGAGACTCACTACTGCTATTTTGTTAATATTTTTCTGTCTGTTTTACAGTTCATTTCTTTCTTTCTAGCCCTATTCCTTTATGATATGATGATTTCTATATTTATATGATTTGATTACCTTCCCATCTTTAATGTGTCTACAAATTTTTCCTTTGTGATCATTATCAGGTTTACACAAAACTTCTTAGAGTTGTAACATTCTACTTTAAGATAATAAAACTTATATTTGATCATACATAAATTTCTGTACTTTAACTTTTCCACCCACATTTAATATTCTTGATGTCAAAATTTATACCATTCATACACTTTTGTCAATTAATAATTCTTAATGATTTTTAATTCTATAATGATTTTTAATATTTTTGTTGTTTAACTCTGTGCCAGAGTTGAACATGATTTATGTGCCACCATTAGTTTTAGATAATTCTGAACTCTGCTAGGTCCTTACCTTTGTAATTATTATTATACTTTTTAAAGATTTATTTATTTGTTTGAAAGGTAGAGTTAGAGAGAGAGAGAGAATAAACTTGCATCTGCTGATCCACTACTGAAATTGTCGTTACTGCTGGATGGAACTGGGAGAATTTGAAGCCAGGAGCCAGTCGCTTCATCCAGGTTTTCCATGTGGGGGCAGGGTCCCAGGTACTTGGGAAATCTTCTGCTTTCCCAGGAACATTAGCAGAGATCTGGATAGGAAGTGGAGCAGCCAGGACTCAATTCGGTACCAATATGTAATGCTGTTGCCACAGGCAGAGGCTTTACCCACTATGCCACAGCATCGGCCCCATATTATACTTTTATGCGTTTCATTTATGTTGGAGTCCTTTCATTTCCAATTACGAAACATTTTAGAAGTTCTATTTGGAAGGTCTAATGGTCATAATCTCCCATAGCTTTTGTTTCCCTGGACACATTGGTATCTCTGCTTCATTTATGAAGGAGAGTCTTGCCAGTGATAGTATCTTGGCTGACAGATTTATAAAAAAATTCTTTCAGTAGTTTGGTTGTTCCTACCGACTCTCTTGGTCTGGTGAGAAATCTGCTGATAATCCTACCAGGATGAGGGATCCTTTGTATCTGACAAGTTGTCTCTCTCTTACTGCTTTAAAAATTCTCTTTGCTTTTGATTGTTGAAGGTTGGATGACAATATGTTTTAGTGAAGAGCTCTTTATATTTAATTAGTTTGAAGTTCTTCAGTCTTCATGGACATAGATGTGTATTTTGATTTTCAGATTTGAGCTTTCTTTTATTATTTCTTTAAACTTGCTTCCTCTTTCTGAATCTTTGCTCTCCTTGAGATGCATTAAATTCTTGTATTGCTTGATTGATGGTGTTCATAATCCTCAGACTTTTGATTAATTGATTGATTTAGATTTGCTCCTCTAATTGAAATAAGCAGTGACTTATATTCCTTGAATGTACAGGTTATGGAAGCATTGTATCAAACTTTTCATTTCTTTCTATAGTCTGTACCTCCAAAATTTCACTCTTTATAATTTTTATTTATATAAGCTGAACAAATTTCATTTATTTCATATATATAGAATTAGGGATATGCTCATATACAGATTTAGTGATACTTCCTATCCTACCCTTCCTCCCATGACTTCACTCTCCCTACTCCTTCCTTTCTTACCTTTTAATTTTTACAATGATATACTTTCATTATGATTATTTTATAATCATATACTTGAACCTCAACTAAATAAAGAATTCAACAAACAGTAAGAAAAAAAAACATTATTCCTCAATAGTAGAGACAAAGGCTATAAATAATAATCAAATATCAATATGTCAGTTTTGCTCATATACCTTACATTTTGTCCTGTATTACAGATCAGGTAAAACATGATCTTTTTTCTTTTTAGGACTGGTTTATTTCACTAAGAATAATGACTTTTATTACATACATTTTGTTGTGAAAGGTAGGATTTCATTCTATTATACAGCTGAATAGTATTCCATAGTGTATATATATATACCACACTTTCTTTATCCAGTCAGTTGATGGACAACTGGATTGATTGCAGATCTTAGCTCTTGTGAATTGAGCTGCAATAAATATGGGACTACAGCTGACCCTTTCATATGCTGATTTCCTTTCATTTGGGTAAATTCCCAGAGTAGGATGGCTGGGTCTTATGAGAGATCTATTTTCAGATTTCTGACGAATATCCATACTGTCTTCCACAATGGCTGTTTTAGTTTTCATTCCACCAACAGTGGATTAGGGTATCTTTTCCCCTGCATCCTTGCCAGTACTTATTTTTTTTTTCTGTATGCCAGGCATTCTGAATGGGGTGAATTGAAACCTTATTGTGGTTTTTATTTGATTTCCCTGATGACTAGTGAATGTTAACATTGTTTCATGTGTCTGTTGTCCATTTGAATTTCATCTTTTGAAAAATACTTGTTCAAATCTTTTGCCCATTTCTTAACTGGATTGTTTGATTTATTGTTGTTGAGTTTTTTGAGCTATTTATAGATTCTGGATATTGATGCTTTATAAGTTGTATAGTTTGCTAATAATTCATCCCATTCTGTCAGTTACCTCTTCACTTTGTTGAGTATTTCCTCTGTAGTGCAGCAGTTTATTAGCTTCATGTAATCCTATTTGTCTATTTATGCTTTTATTGTCTGTGCCTCTGGGGTCTTTTACAAGAAGCCTTTACTTAGACCTATGT